TCGTGACTGGGTCTGACCTAACGATATCAAAGGTTTCGGCCGTCGACATTCGGCGTCTTTATCATAAGTACATCTTCTAGACAATATATTAAACGTGTTTGTAATCACTCGCCATATCAAATTTAAAATGTCTACCTTTACCAATTCACCACAACCTAACAGCAAATCTATTCTTCTCTGAATGTAAATGATCACGCTCTTATATCACTATTTCCTTTATTTTGGTTTTTAAAAGTCCATAAGGCGTTCTTCGCTCACGCTGCAGCATAAAATACGCCTTACTAGTAACAAATAAGTTATTCTTTCTGCGCAAGACGAACACTTGTCGACACATCGTCTGTATGTCTCTCCACCTGAATTTCGTGTCTTTTAACTCCTAAACCTTACGTCTTACGATAATTAAATGTTGCTGAGAATTGTACCACAACTTAGTGAAAAAGAAAGATGCATTTGCACCTCATTGGCCATTTGAAACAAAGTATACTGCATTTATCGTGTCGTATATGGACAGACCAAAAGCTGTTTCAACAAAGTTTATATGCGACTATTTTCACAAACAGGATTAATCAGTTGATCTATATATAACGGACATGCACTTTTCTGTGGTCTGAACTAAATTTTTTAGTAGTATTTAGAAAAGCTTCCGCTTAAAATGGTGTGATGTATTCCACAGTAACAAAACATCTAGTATTTCATATTTCCAGTTACGATTGCTATAAATGTCACTAATACCTAAAACTACTGATCAAGCTAGATTAGCAATATTTATTTCACTTCTCTGTGATTACTATCATACTCAACAAGATCAACGCAAACGAAAGTTGATAGTGTAATCACACATTGCGTAATAACATATAGGATTTCTTGACAGATGCTTCATATAACAAACCTTGAATACGTCAAAATGTTTTACAAGGTTTAGATTTGTCTACGAGATAAATCAAATCAAATAAGACTTTATCAAAATTGTTATCACCGATTTCTTAGTAAAAACATACTACCGCATATTTCAGTGGACGGTATCAATAGGATTCTCTCACATCGGTAAATATTACCTTATATTTTCATCAATAATTAATTTCTTTAGGTTTCGTGAAGTAGATAAGTACTGCAGTCTGTTGTTACAAATAATCTATAAGAGTTGCGATTACTAAAATTGAACAACGAAGCTAATAGTTACGCACTTCAGAGAGACAAATTGAAGGACTAATGAAGATTACTTGTAGAATTTTTCCATTGGCATTTTTTAAAGCATCTCAGCTGAGAAAGATTTCATGTGCTATTACTTATTGTACTTCTGTTAATATAGAATGGAAATTTTATTTTATTAGCTAATTACATAAAACTTCTTTCGCTTTCTGAGTTTATAAAAGGAGATGGGCAAGTGAAAATTACTGTCGTGATTTTACAGCGTTGAATTTGCTTGAAAAGAAGAATGCATTCATAACAAGTGGTGAACAGTTACATTGTATTTGTCAGTTGCTAAATCTTTGAACGCAAAAAATGTTTATCATAAAATTATCAAAATAAAACACAGTTGTACACTTAAAACGAATATTATGGTTCCATAACAACAAAATATCTTAATCCACAAAATAACCATAAACTACTCAGGCTAGATTTTGTAACCACGAAATAGGAATGAATCTCTGTGAGGGCGACGCGAGAATTTCTACACGTCATGTCGAAAATAGATCCCAGTTGTCACTTTTAGTAAACAATGTAGGCATTTAAGAAATACTTGTGTTACTATTTTGAATTACAAAACTGTTACGCTGGTTAAACTATACCATATACTTCAGACACCTCTGTGTTTCTTTTGACAAAACTCCACGTGTAACCCTTCAAATGATCAATGTGTAATCCTAACTATATTTTTTTTTCACTAAAGGCTTCTGAACAACGTGTGTGTATATATATATATATAAAAATAAGGTAGTGTGATAGGTTTGAAACAGCGAAATATAGAGAACCAGCAACTGCCCATGTAGCTTCAATGCCTGGGGGAGTGTAGATCACACCACGTGGAGGACGTTATATTTTAATCGGTACTTATTATTATTTAACTAGCTCAATTACGTCGCACCAACCACTGAGCGAACTTTAGCTGTTGGTGATGTATCGTACAGGGGCTACAACGAGGAATGCAATATCGAATTAACAGCCCATCTGAAAATGGAAGTAGAGCCAACTTCCGAAACTTCATGTGGATTATATGACACATACATCACATAATGAACAATTCCCAACATAATATTGCTACATACCCTGGCCGTTGTAAAATCTGTAACGTCTTCGAAAATATATGGATTAGTGATAATTTCTATCAAAATAAATTTACAGTCAAGCTTTGACTGTTTATCTACATTCCTGTAACAAATACGTTTTGCTACATATGCAAACTGATTTGTGTTTGAAGAATCAGAAATGTGAAACAACATGCAAGCTCTTAAACAAGAAGTTTTAAAATTCTGCTTTACTTACCAACTGATACAGGGTCATTAAATAATCTAAACCAATTAATTGTCATGCATCAGCAAACCACCACCTTATATAGTTTTGTAAACCTCTAAGCTAAATAATTTAATTTTTGAAACTGGCACAGCCACAGAATTGTCCTCAACCAGCATTTAAATTTGGGGTAAAATAAATAACAATATACGTACATGGCAACTGAAAATCGGTTTACCCTATTAAAATCATTCTACTTAAGCTCCATTATTCACTCATTTATCATGGGATAATGGACAATAGGCCCGTTAGGGCCCAGTTTCACAGATAAATAATTTAGTCTGGCACCAACATAGAAAAAAGAACAGCGTTTTTCTGCATTTGTATTTTGTCTGTGTAGGTCTGGTCTAGCGACGGGCTCATCCTCCCTCCAAGGAGTACTACTGTCTAAACGTTTCATTGCTTCATAATAATCTGAACCGAAAACGACAGCTTAATCAGTGACAGCTGAAGAGAATAACAGTAAAATGCATACAAAATGTATGTTTTCACATTATTACAGTGACCCATTTTATTCTGTGATTATGAAACATACATATAGGACTAAATGTTTTACAATGAAGTAATTCTAAATCACATCAGAATTATAGAATATCTGTTAAATTTTTAATTACAGCAGCTTATATGTTTTGCATCTCTGTTTCAAGGTTCAAGTTTCGGTTCATGAAAAGCATGTTCACGGAATACAAGAGGACACTAAAATATAACGCCGAAAAAAGTATTTTAAGAATTACTTTCAACCACCGTCCTTCAGCCAGAGAAATCTGGGGGCCGCGTTGCTTCTGAGACAAAGCCGGAACACATTTCAATCTGCCTCTAAGAACAGAATAATTCATTCTATTCTTATCAGCCATGTTTTATGAAAAGTCCTTTGATTAAGTGGATGATAAGAGTTGCCGCAATCCAAGTTGAAAAGTTAACTGATAAAATATAGCTTACAACAGTCTCATTTCATAGTAGAATCTCCGAATTGTCAAAACAGGTAAATTTATCATTTTTTATATATAGAGTTTAAAATACTCCGACCACAACAATATTCTGACAAATTTACGTTACGGTGGCCATTCGCGTTATAGTGGTCTGTGCTCACTTACATAAAGAAACCCCAACCCAGTGTGAAAGATTACGGGACTAACTTAGGGTAGATTCCATAGGGCAGATTTCTACTTGAGATTATGATAGTCGCTCAGATGGTCAACAAATTCACAACATCCATCACTGGATCTTACTCTGAACCCAGTGACTGCAGTCAGCATTCCCACACTCCTTTCCTAAAATTCATTTTCATTTTATTCTCCCATCTATGCCCACGTCTACAAAGTGTTCTTCTTCCTTGCGAAGTTGTATGGTTATGAAGCTCCTCTGGTATGAACTTTCTCCATCTCCATCCCCCTTCCCCTTTGTTCTTAGTAACCCTCAATATCTGTTCTAACCTCAAGGTGAGATTATTTAAGTTTGACAACCTTAGGTCTACAATATTTTTATTTTCCGTCTATACACAAACTTAAAATAATGTTGTTTAAAATTATTTAAAATTATAACATTCTCAGTAGACACTGCATCTTGTTACATTTTTTGTAACGACGACATGTTTCAATGTGTATTACATCATCATCAGGTCTATCAATTTTAATATATTTTGAAACCTGTTGTACATTTTGCGTTGCGTTTATTGATTTATTTTAATTTGTTTAATTTTATATATATGTATATATATATATATATATATATAAAACATCCAAGTACAACCTCCAAATCAAAAGGAAGAGACAAAAAACTTAAAATTAAACAAATTAAAATAAATCAATAAACGCAACGCAAAATGTACAACAGTTTTTAAAATATATTAAAATTGATAGACCTGATGATGATGTAATACACATTGAAACATGTCGTCGATACAAAAAATGTAACAAGTTGCAGTGTCTACTGAGAATGTTATAATTTTAAATAATTTTAAACAACATTATTTTTAAGTTTGTGTATAGACGGAAAATAAAAATATTGTATCAATAAAACACAAACATGACGCAATTAAGATATAAACCTTAGGTCTACTGACAGGTAAAGTTAAAGTTTCGTAATTTTTAGACATGGGAATGAAGGATAAAATATTATGAACTGAACAGCAACAAAAATGCTCTGAATTAAGTCTTCCCTTTCTTTCAATATTAATGTATTTTGATGTTCTGTCGCCCCACATTTTTTTAACATGGACATGTTTCCGAAAGATATATTTTCCATATTTATTTGTCCCGCATTCTGCAGACATGCAGTCTGCTAACTGATAAAATATTGCGACAGGCATAAGTTGTCACCGCGTTGTAATTTTTTCCCCCCAATTTTTAAAATTATTTATTCATTATTACTTTCGCCTCCTTTTTCTCGAATAAAGTTCCTAATTCCCTTCCAGTTAGATTAAGTATCAAATTAATCACTGCATTACTTGTATCAGACATGTTTTTGAAGTTTGGTGAGCGTTTACTTACAATTGTCCTGTGTGTCAGCCCCAAGTAAAAATCTGTAACTTGCTGATGAACGCAACAGTTGAAACATAGATCCCTCACTCGACTTGTGCACACGTCTATCTTACTATAGGACTGCTACCCACGAGCTGGCCGTCACCACTGCTAGCGGTAATGCACTTGGAACACCAGCAGAGGCAGAATGTTATTAACTTGGCCCCCCCACTACCTGCTCCGTTAATACAGAAAAGTGTTCACATATATATATCTGTTCACAACAGAGCGAGCGAGGTGTGAACCTATCATCCCTAATTTAATACCCATTCTTGTTCTCTTCAAGGAAGTCAACATTGAGCAACTTGAAAGAATGATTCAATAAATCATGACTCCAAATCTTGTCTTTATTCTGTAAATTTATACACCAAACCTGGTATACCTCGTCACGGGTTACACACAGTAAATCATTATTAACAAATAAGATCAAATAATGCCGTGTTACACTTAAAACAACAAATGTATAGTAACAATTGAAGGTCAAGGCAAGTTAAACACCACAAGACTGCAGCAACAGTCCACGATTCTTTTTAATGTACAACGAAGCAACAATACGTTACAAGACAACTTTTAGGTACAATGTTATATAATATAATTGAAAGGGGAAACTTCTAAAAAAATTCAAATTAATTCGATAATGTAAACAACAAAACTTCGCTTTAGTGTTGGATTATGCAACGTCAAGTACAATGAGACAGCAATATTTTCTAAAAATAAAAAATAAATTAACGTTAAAGAAATAAAATTTTATAAATGTTTCCACATTGTCCTACATTTCGATTAGACCTATAAAAATCCTTCACGTTAAGCAGCCATTAAATTCATAATTCTTGAACTGATGGCCTCTCCAAAAGGAAAATTAATAGTGGGCCCAAAAACCATTTTAATTTTAAATTGCCAGTCAGTCTCACATTTCCGAGCGCACGGGTTCGAATCCTGCGAGACGCATGAATATTTATTCTCGTTTATCTGCATGGCACAGGCCTTGTTAACACCACTTCATCGGCGAATGATTTAAGGTTTCCAGGGTTGTTATCAAAAAAAATTTATCGTATTAACAACATAATTGAAATATGAGAATATCAAGATAGTAGAAATATTGTTTAACGAAACGCTGGATACACATGACGAAAGGGAATAGGCTTGATATAATATATCGTTTGCTGCCCTATTTAACATACACCGTAACACTGACAAACATTGTAATTTCATAAGACAGCATTCACCGAATTCAAATTCTCTCACCTCATGTCAACCACGTACTGCTAGACGTATTTAGTACGTTGTGTACCAGAAACCGCAGCACTCTGTACATACAACAGTATGCCTTTTGTTTGTATTGGGTTGACAAGATTTCTTTCTTAAAACTCAAAGAAAAGCGGATTTATTAAACGGTAGTAAATCGCTTGTATCGTGAGGGTAGCTTTTTAATGTTTACGTGTAATAAATTCATGTTTGTTTAAAAAATGTATTATCACCACAAAATAGCTTTGTTTTAGGACAGAAGCAATTAAATTCCCATGTTTCCGACATACTTTTTCTTTCATGTATGTTACAGTTAGACAACCTCTGAAAGATCCGAAATCTGATTCTTTAAAAACAAATTTAAATCCTGCAAGAACATAAGTCCACCACAGTGCCAAATGACTTCAATCTGTATTCTTACAAATATATTAATACTGTTCTGAGCGGAGCAGCTTCGCGCATCAATAAACATCCTGACTATATTCGGAACACATAAGTTTGGAACTCGGTCAGGTCACAGGCTATCTATCCATGATTTTATTCTGTTACTCCAGGAAAATTGTGGAACACCACCTCCCCCTTCCAGATCCTATATACACACAATTTATATTATCTGCCCATCTCGTTTGACATTATATAACCTCTTCACTTAAAACACCATCGTTAAATAGCCTAACAACAAATCATTACCGTCCTTTCAGCTTCTCTTTTTTTAATTCCATAAACGATGTTACCAAACTATAAACATTTAAATTATTTCTTGTTTACTCGTTGGTTGCTACTTGCAGAGTCATCTTAATTTCATTAATATAATGACTTCTTGTTGTGGTCATGAAGTCAGGGGAATTAATGGTCTGTTTCGGCCTCAACATTGTAACCGTCTATAAGCCCTTTCAACGTCCGTCCACATCTTTGTCTTCTGACGCCTTACGATATTGCTTGAAGGTCGCCCCTCCTGCGTTTTATTAAGCATAATCAGGGTTCAACTCTCACGACCTTTTATGTCGGATTAAACTTTCGTTGTTATCTAAGATTTTTTCCAGCGGCCACAATTACTCTACGGCAACAGTATTTACCAAAATTAGGATTTATAGAATTTAATGAGACAGTGGTTTATATTATGTAGGTTACTTGTTTACACCAAGACACTTATTTCTCGTTGTTGATGTTTGTATAGGACCATTCATTTTCTATTTTAATGGCATAACAACTTAAACGAGTAAATCTGCTATGGCAATAAGTAAACGAAATGCATTCCATATTTTCTGTACGTGATATGTGATGTATGTGTAGAATCGACGCCAAATATCGAAATCGACATTTTCTTAACTCCAAACTTGGAGAATAACTTACACATCTTCATTGAACTAAAGGCTTCTAAAGCCCTTCTTCTTGTCTGTTGACAGTTTACTGATATTTTATAATAAATGTTTCATTTTGAGTATGCGTATGATATGGTACATAAATCACTAATAATTCCCTTGTCAACAGTTGACGTCGCTGATAGTTTCGCTCAGTTCTTCCAGACAAATTTTTGGATAATACCTTAAATTAGGCCACGACCGCTTCCTACCACACCTTCTCCAATCATTATTCGTCAATCACCATGTCACTAAATTTCATGCAACCAAAGCGTAGTTAAATAAACCACAAAAAATAAAGTACCTGATTTCCTGTAATTATAGTTCGTAATCGATAACTAAATACATAATGGCATGCCTGGATAGGGAAGCAGCAGATAAGGTACCTCTGCTAGTTAAGTGTCCAACTAAGAAATTATGACTTTCTGTTCATATTTAGCTAATGAATAAGACTTATTTTCCCACAACTTTAGTAACAATGACAAATTTAAGTACACAAGAGTACATAGTAGCCATTGTTTTAGAACTTTTGATACTTACTCATACTTCTGAGGAACGTGTCCCAGCCTCGTCAGTTTCCTTTCCGAAGCTCCTCCACTGCCACATCGTACAATACAGATCTCAATTCATCGCCAGAGAGCTTTAAATTGCTTCTGATTTGGCAATCATTCCATTCGTAGATCAAGTCACGTCAGCTCTTAGTGAACAGCCCAAGAGTCATCAGTGAATTAGAGTTTAGGTTCATACAGCGTATTTGTCGCTCTAATGGTCAGCACACCCAATACGCCGCATTACTGGCCCAGTCAACAAAACTAAAGTGCAGTTGTCTTGGTTCTCACCTCCCACATTAGTGCACACAATTGTCATTTTTTGTAATATAATTTTATCTTTCGTGTTTTTCCAGTACTGGGTGTCCCCCGGTTAAGCTATCATCCTATCGCGGTGGGGTACCGCGTTGCTACCTCTTGATCTGTAGTCTGCAAAACTTCACTGTATGTTACTAGACTAGACAATCAACGAAATACGCGAACACACGAAAATAAAATTTAATATTTGAAATATTACCAGTGAAACAAAATCCTGCCAATAGAACAGGCACGACTCACATACATAATAAATACAATTAGAGCAACAAATCTTTCAATATACATTTAACAAAATAAATATGATCAAACTGTCCACAGTTTCTCATTTTTTGACAAGGGTAAAATGACACTTACATTCTTCTCATGAACTGCTATTATGTTATTCAACAAAGTTTACAGTATATATATATATATATATATATATATATATATAATATTTTATCAAGATTAATAACATATTATATACATAGAAGATAAACAGGAAACAGAGCAATATGACGCAGAAAATGGAGCACGTTCTTGTCAATAACAAAATAAAAATACATTCAGATAATCTAGTTTTAATTTCTTCGTGATAAAATTTGAAAGCATAAATCGATCATCAGAGAGTAAACATATTAACTGAAAGCAAAAATACATCTGTGCTATTAGTTCTGTTTACAGAGAACACTCAGACCTAGTATGTCATTTAATCTGGAGTTGGCTGCACTTGCATTTCAAATTATATTCTAAAAACAGAACCATTCATCGAAGCAATTACTACTAATTAGAACTTACCCCCAAAATCTCCACTGAATATCTGCTTCAATAAACTTTACACAAATCTTAGGCTGCCAATATTGATAAGCTGTGACAGTAAACCCGTAAGGAAACGTCAAAAGATATACTTTTCCACACAAAGCTTGTAAACCGCGCCATTTCAACACGCCATCTTTCACTAAAGTTGGGTACCAACTCACTGGCTCGAAATGTAAAATTATTTCATGAATGCATTTTTCAACCGCACAGATGTGTAAATGTATCCAGCTATTTAATTTTAATCTAGTCTCCCTTAAACTGTATGGGCTGACAGACACGTACATCTTACAAAAATATCACAACTATTCAGTTGATTGGAAAATTCCCGAAACTTTGCATGGCAAACAGCACATTGAGAATATAATCGATACGCGACGTCTGCAAAGAAGACAGTCCCTTGCTCATCTGTGCGAATTCTATTATTCCAAAGAAACTCTACTATACGGTATTTGTTGTGCGGCAGGAGGTTGCAGTGGTTCATGTAGGGAAGAAATTTATGTGTGATAGAAGTAGTGTACTGAGAGAAGCCATTATTTATCGTCGCCTGTAAATAATTGTAATTTATATAGTTCTAAATCATAAGAATGGTTGAAGAAGGGTCTAGGTCAAGTATTCATTCTGAATCCAGAGGTAAATTTGCATTTGTAAATCAAGATGTGCCGTTAGTTGAAGGTGCAAGTGAAAAAACGATAAAGCTGCGGATCAAGTGGTATTGAAGGGAATAAGTTTAGCGCAGGATGTGGTATTCCATTTTCTGGGAGATGAAATTCGTTTAGTACATCAAGATCAGTTGTCTCTTTGCCTGAGGAATACTGTGGAGGAAATGTTGGACAAACATGTACTATTGTTTACTAGCTTTGCAAAACGTTTGGCTCGTACCCCGGAAAATATTTCGGAACAATTCTTGGTAGTGTCAGAAGAATTGTTCCAAGATTGCGTGACATGGAGTCGCATAATTGCCCTGTATGCACTTGCTGGGCGATTGGCTTTATATTATCGAGAGAACAACATGCAGAAACTGGCTGAAAGTATTCCACAGTGTATGGCACATTGCATCGCAGGGAAGATTGCTTCTTTTGTAATAAAGAATGGAGGCTGGGTAAGAGCCAGATATTGTAAGTTGCCTGCATGGCTTTACTCTGAGTGGGCTTTACAGTATTTTCAAATTAATAATATCTGTGACAAGATTTGAACGTCGGACCTCCCAAATACAAAAAAGACTGCTGAGCTTAAAGGTGATATTTCTTCTTGAGTCCTTAATATGCCATGTTCCTTGTGTGTAAATTTATGTGATAATTTTACAATTTTGACGTAAATACGTCTATACGGAAGGGTCATTCAGCAAAAAAGTTAAAGGAAAACATGTAAGATCCATATCAACAATGTATAAATATGGACCGACAACAATTGTCAGCTTGTGTGCATTGTTATGTTACCTAAGAAACATCATCTGTTTACTCGGCATTGTTGTGTTACATTACTGCCATCAGCAATCCGGTTTCATTATTGCAGAAAGAGCTGAGCTGTGAATTGGTTATAGAAGAAGTGAGTCGTAGACTGGTAAAAACGTTTTAGAATATCACAAGTACTTAACTTATATAAGAATTATTACATTTCATTACATTACAGAGACGTATTTATGTCAGATTCTCCGGAACCGTGGTTCCACTGTCAATTTTTTAATCTGGTTTTTGCAATGAAGAAGCCTCTTCCACCCTGATTAACTCTCATTTCATAACCTCCCTCAATGATACCGGTAAAATCCAAAAAGCTGATCATTATGGAAAACAATTTAGATTGAGTATAGTCCTCTGGGTTGTGACGTTCTTATCTTGTAGGTGGTTAACATCTTGGAAGAACAAATCACCTCAATTTTCAGAGACTACTTGATGTCACATCCCAGAAGACCACATTCAACATACTTTCTGCTATTCTTACTAGAGAATACATGAAGCCCATGCAGTGTTAATTTTTTTCTTTAATTTTATATCTGTTTATGTAATGTATAAAAAGCAGTTATTGATAATTTTTGTTACAGGAACAACTTTGTGTAGAGTTTCCACCAAAAAAGGACTTGAGTGTGAAAGTGTGGAGATCTTTGCTGGTGACAGGAGCTGCTCTGGGGATAGTGGCAGCACTCTTAATGGTTCATTCATAATATTTATTCATAATTTCCTTTTAAAAGGTGAATTTAACCTGGTAAAGCAGCATTGAAACAATCGGCAGAAGCATAGAAAAGTTTCTGGTGTTATAAATGTAAGAGTATACATAATCTTAGGTGGTTTATATTTCAAATATGAATTTTATATTTTTCTGTGACAAGTCATAAATTTTGTGTTTATAAATATAGTACAGTCTAAATTATGCTAAATTTAATAATACTGTGTTTTCAAGCCAAACCACCCTTTTGTAATGTGTGCTGCTATTGAGCAAAAAGCAATGCTCTCCAAGTGGATTTATTTGGACTTCACTGAACTGTTTCTTTTACACAGTCAACTGTCTTTTCTGGGACCAATGCTTTTGTGTGCTTCACTCTCTATCTGGTCAGAGATGTATCTTGTATCTTGAAGGAATAATGGAGTGAATCTTCCCAGTAAATAGCAATAATTCCTTTTAGTACACCGGACATCACATTGCACCTTTTCTTGTTTATTTTCCATTTTTTAACTGTGTGCAAGAAACATTTGCTTTATTTTGCATCTGATTCACCATCTGTAAGATAATGGCAGTGAGAGCTATTTTGATTTGCTGTACACACTGTTGCCATCTGGATAGTGCCACTGTTCCACATTTAGTTGTATGTGTTTCATATCTGGTTCAGTTTGTGGCCGTCTTGGACTTCACAGAAGCCTAATATCCAAGGTACTAAAATAATCTCTGGCTTATATTAATCATAATGCAGGGCAGAATTTGTTTTATAGCTGCAATATTAATTGTATGATCTCATAATTTTAGATAACTGATTGTAACCTTATTTTGATAGATATGTTATGATTATGACAGATTTGTCAGTCATATATATGCGCTTCATTAAATTCCCCATTAATAATATGTTAAGTACATTATCATTATTAATAGAATTCTGTAGTGAACTGTATTCTAGCACTTGTGTTTCTTGTCAAACACCATTTGCAAGAAAAGCACTGTTTGACATTGGAAACTTCATCAAACAGAAACTTTTTTTCTTTTTGAAGGAAGTAACCCCTTACTCTTAGGCCAGGTTCTAAAGTTGTTTAAGGAAACATGAGATTGAAACCAAGAACTCTCTTTGCTCTATTGTTCTTCAAAAAAGGTACACTATCCTTTGCTCATCATACACTAAGTACCGGGTCTACATTTTATGAGGCTGCGGTCGTGCTTGCATTGCATAGTCGGCTGGCGCTCTGTTGATGTGGGTGGGAGTTGTGCGCGTTCTTCTGGTGGGTGACCGGCGAATCAGTTTCAGTGCCGCTAGTAACAGCGAACTACGCATATTTTTCGTCACTAATACATGTCAATACATTAATTGTTCTTACCTTAAATCACAAAAGATGTTCAAAGTGACTTCCTTGTGCTTGCAAGCAAGCTTCACATCTCTTTAACATGTTTCAAAATACTCGACGAAGCTCTTCTTGGAAAATTGCCGAAATCAATTGTCGAATATTTTCTTTAAGTGCTTCTGCAGTGTGTAGATTATTTACATAAACTTTGTTCTTCAGCATGCCCCACAGGTAAAAATCGCATGGGTTTAAGTCTGGGGAACGCGGAGGCCACTGATCGATAACTTGTTCACCAAACACTTCTCTTAATGCTAACATTGACCAATCAGCTGTGACCTGTAGCATTGCCTTGCATGAAGAAACCGTAAGTCTTTTCTTCATCGGCCATTTCTTGGGAAAAGGGTTTAAATATTAAATTTACATAATGTTTACAATTTATCCGCACACTGCAGAAGCACTTAAAGAAAATAAAACCCTTGCGCGCACACACTTGCTCCATCGATCCTGCCATTGTTGGAAGCACCGGCAGAAGGCTTCGTTTGGAATCTTCCGGAGTTTGGCATTCGATTTGATGTCCTCCATGGTTGAGAAACGCGCCCCCTTGAGGCCCATTTTCAGAGTAGGGAACAGCCAGAAGTCACTCGGAGCGAGATCCAGAGAGTGTGGTGGTTGGGTGATGACGGGAAAATTTCATGAGTATGGTTCAAGGATTGACTGCATGAATCCACTGATTGCCCTAGACCGCAAGTTATATTACATGTTATTGCTGGATTATAAATTCATATTACTGTACCTAAATAAAATACTAACAGAAAATATTTGTGGGACTTGAAGTATGCAATATGTAAATGTACTTATTAACTCATACCCAGAGTACTTGTATTCACTAGAATTTCAGTAGAGCCTTTACAACCCATGTAACAAACATATCTCCAGCTGGATCAGAATTTATTTCTTCACTGTTATGTACAATTAAGTGCAGTGAATACCCAGACTTATCATCACAAGGATCAGATCATTATACCACATTTTGGAGACTGCTTTGACAGAACATATTGTCCTCTGATTTAGAGCATGCTTTCATTGATAGCTTCTAACCACAAGCAAACAGTGTATTTATTTATCCTTTATAAGATCAGAATTGGCTATATTTAGAATAAAGGATTATAGTATTGCTCTTTTTCAGGGCTGCTCAGTCATGTTTCTAAAATGGAGAAGGGATCAGAGAATTTTATACTGGTCTGTCCTAAATACTTCTGAAAATCAAGAAAATTGGGTTACCCAGTACATAACCTGGAATGTATGAAATATGACTCTAATATACAGTTCCATTTATGTAGTCAGAAGAGCTCATATATCATGTGTTATACTTTCTTAATCACTTTCACCTAAAGTAGTAGTAAATAGTTGCTGACAGGACAAGACGGTATATATAATCAAACACTCAACTGGCTACAATCCAGTTGTCTCCTGTAAAAACACATCTGCATTCATATATTTCCTTTATATATATATATATATATGTGTGTGTGTGTGTGTGTGTGTGGGTGTTTCAATTTAATTTTAAGTCATCATGTATATAGTATATATCAGTTTATTTTATTTAATGACATTGTATTTAGCTAAGACTGTGTAGTGTCAAAAGGTAGGCTGAATAATTAATTTGAAAGGATACAGAAGGAAGCAATCATGGCCTAATTTAAGTTCCTGTCTGAGCATTTGCATGAGACAAAACAAGACTGCAGGTTTTCTTTTATCACAGGTAAAACTTAGGTTTTAGTCCTGCTGCTGTCAGTGCTTACATTGCTGGAAATGTACTGCACTGTTGCACATGCTGCCAATATAATGGTAAGTACAACATTTCCAGCACTGAATGCTAACTAAATAAGCCAGTATTCTTTCTTTTGTTTTTTCCCCCATAACTGTAAATTAATTGTGTTGGATGGGTTGAACTAGGCTCCCTTGTAAGTGGAAGAAGGTATGAATCAAAGAATACGCAAAATGAAGGACAGTTTATAATTAACGACAATTTATAATTAATAGTTAATTTTACAAATTTACAGTATCACTTCTTTACCTTTTCAAACTTGCTCAAAGCTCTTACCATAAGACTGCCATGAACTAGGACTCTGTATTGAGGTACTGATAGCATATGTTTGGAAAACAAAATCAGAGCATGGGTAATTTTATGCTGCCTCAGTCCTTTTGTGGTATTTACCCTCATATGGATTTGTTCTTTTCAGAAAACGTGTAGATAAAAAGGTCTGATGAAAGATCATACAAAAACAGATACACTAATTATAGTTAACTTAATCTCTTGTAACTTAATTCCAGCAAAGTTATACACAACTGTACATACCAAAGTTTAGGCATTTGTAGGCATCCAACATGAAATGTGAAATTATTTAATATTTCAATGTAAAGTTATGCATAACATGGTATAAATTTGAATTAGTGTACAAGTACTTTGATACATCACCAAAATCAGGTACTGGTCTTAAAAATTACTATTACCAATATTGTATATATTATGCATTGTTATTATATAAAACAGGTTATTTTTATTTTGGATGCGCTATTTAAGCATAGAAGAGATTTTTAAAAAAGTGTTTTGAGCAACAGTCATGCAAATATATGCTATCATAAATTAAATGGTGTTTAACTAAAATTAGTATCCATCTCAGGATAATAATTAGTTTGTTTCAGAGCTCCAAGTTATAAATATTTTGAATGAAATTGAGATTTTAGACTGATGTTCATATTATGTTTGCAATTCTCATCTAAAAAGAAAAGTCTATGTAAATTATATGAAATGCTTTTATTTACGAGTAAAAAGCAACTTCACTATATCAGGGGCTTTGTGCCCGATTTAAATCTGCTTATTCTTTCTGAAAGTCTGACAGTATTTGAAGTAATAATTCTAAATTGTTACAAATTATTGGTATATGTATAGGGATTTCTTCCTGCAAGTAAATATTACTTCAAATGATATCAAGTACTTCCACAGAAAGTGTGCAGATGTACATTCATGATGCCATGGCAATCAGAAAACATGCTGGTCCTGCAGATTTAAATAAATACACTGTGTCCCATAATTATCTTTACAACTTTAACACTTAACCAAATAATGAGATGAGATATCACAATGCGGTTTTTTGCATATGAAAGAGTAACTATCATCAAAGTTTTCTTTCTTACTTTAATACACCTCTACGTGCTCACCATTAGTTGCATGTAGCACGTCAAGACGGAATTTGATTTCTTGCCATGTTTGCTCTAGCATCCCTGCATCAATTATTTCGTTATTAAGTGTAAAAGTTATAAAGATAATTATGGGACATGGTGTAGCTTGGAACAAACATTTGGAATCACTGCATTATCACATTCTAGGCTGGGCTATAATACCAGTACTTTCTCAACAACTTCATTGAACAGTACACGTGGATCCATTTGCATCTGCACACAACAAACCCCCATTAATTGTAGCAGCCATATTTGTCTCTGCATGTAAGATACAGACTAGAAGCTCCAAACACCACACTAGCAGCATGTGTTTTTGTTTGTCTACAACCAAATGGCTGTAAAAATCATATGAAACTTACTGAGAGAAGGCCTGTTATGATGATGACCACACAAAAAATATAACAAACCTTTGAAGAAATAAGATTAGTGTTGCCAATTATGCAAAACCAATTAATTCACTGTAAACATAGGATTTGCATACATTTAAATACCTTCTAATTAAAGAATATGGTTTGTCCAGATGATGAAACAATATCCATTACGAGATTTGACATCCAGCGAGACTGTCACTTCCATCACATTAACAAGTCTGTGAAATAAGCCTGTGTTCATTACACGAGTTCTCTTCTCTTTACAATTTCACAACAAATTAACTTTGTATATGCAGTTTAACTGTCTGAGATTCCCATTCCACATGTGGTTAAACTCACCGGGTGCCTTGTTTACATTCTTGTCGAGGATGGATGCTGCTGTTGATTCAATTAATTGGGAAGAGACCTAAAAACCAGCGATTTACATAACCAACCCTCTGAACCTGAGAGAAATCTACAATTCTGCTCATTTTTATTCGGACGCGTGCTCACAAGCATAAAATTCATAATCGTATCTAATAAAAAGTGTTACACATGCACATTCAATCACATTTATTCCGTGTACTCCCACCAGTCCTTCTCATAACCTTCATGGACATGTTCCAGCAAAACTTTCCTCCTACTGTCACAGTATCTGAAATTATAAGCAGAAGAGTTTTATATATATGTGTTATCCAAAACTTACACTATTTTTAAATGCCTCTATCAAGTGTTAAATATATATCACAACATTTTCAAATCACATTCCTATAATTTCTGTCATCAGTCTACAGATTGTTTCTTATTTCCATCAATAAGGTCAGTGCCTGAACTAAATGTTTGTTTCATACTTTTAAAAAATTAATATACAAATTGAGCCACACATCTGCACAATTCACATTACATTACTAAATTCTCATAATTTATAAAAAAAAATATTTCTTTAAAATATTTATAAGTTGCCATTATGAACTGATCAGCAGTTACCAAGTTAGGGAATGTATGCATAGCATAACAACTGTGGTAATTCTTAAGAATCTGTCAATGGCCAGTGAATTTCCAACCCAGTTGCTTCTGTGCACAAAATTGCATGAAGGTCTCCATGTAAAATGTTCATTGTTATTCAGTTGTTTTTAGTTATTACCAAAATTGTAATGTGTCCACAAATCAGTAAAACTCCTCAATATTAAATTTTATGGAAATCTGTCTATTGCAGAAACAGACATGTTAAAGGTAAACTAACTAACTATATGGCTTACCGAACCCGAAGGTTCATCACCAAATTAACCAAAGCCCTCCACCAGACCCTGTCCTGGGCCAACAAAATCCAGTCTCCTTCAACTCCTATCTCCCATAGATCCCACCTGACATTATCCTCCCATCTATGTCTAGGTCTCCCCAGCGGTCTCTTCCCCTCAGGCTTCACAACCAATACCTGGTGCACACCTCTTGTCCCATCCATGCACGCTACATGATGTTAAAGCTAATAGGCATATTTTTTCAACTTTCAGGTTCAAATGCAATTAAAATGAATATCTCTTTCTTATACATACTCAAGTCAATCACATTTCAAGCCCTTGCCCAAAATACCATATATATACATGAGTGCAGAATCAATGAACTAAGTTCTATTAACAATTATGTTTCTAATATCTTTCAGACTGTCATTGCTCCAATAGTTCAAAATTTAACAGCACCATAAACAAAAAGTTGGAAAATATGAATCGTAAGACCCCCGATATATGTACCAATGGTAACTAGTATCAAAAGCAATGATTTTTACCTGTATTTATCCTGCACTTTTTGCTTAATATCTGCCAGATTTTCTGAGGTAATCTCTCTCTCTAAATATTCTGATAAAGTCTCTGTAGCACTCTCCAGATCTTTTTGGTTTTCCTAAAACATAAATATTTTATTAAATAAGCAAATGTTTTTATATTGTTTAATACTGATTACTTGCATAACTTTCATTACCACCATCTAGCAGTCAAGGAGTTAGGCTACTTGTTGGTCCACTCCAGCCCATTAGTTTAAAGTTCATATGTTTGCAATGAATGTAACTTGTGAAATAATATGGATACATATTTTCTATTCAAGTTTGTTTGACAAAGTAATTTGCTGAATGGGGAGCATGTGAATTAAAGGTATAATTCAGGAACAGGTCAACAGTCTCAACTGCTACATTTCAAACTGTTATTCATTAAAGGTAAAACTGTCACTGGAGCTTAATTAACCACCACCCCATAAATACATATGGGGGATTTCAGGTAAAGCTCCATACTTTATTAACCGTGGCACTAGATGAAGATAAGTTAGCTCCACACCCTGGCCACTTTAGCCATAAATTCCTCCTTACTAAACTTTTCATGCATTTAGGTTTTTTTTCTGGTACAAAACATATGCAATATAAGAAAATCTAAGACATAGGAAACTTACTTCAAATATTACAGACTGGTTATTCTTTCGTAAGTAGTATGCGAAGACGTAGGTGTACATTAATGTCTGCCGGCACTGACATAGAATGTCAACAGCTTTCTTGAGGAACTGCACCTTTTTTACGGATATAAAAAGATTTATGTAAACTAGAACAAAGTCAAAAATATACTTTAAAAATGAACAGCACACTTTCAAATAGTGTTAGAACAATGTTATACAGAGGTACACAACTAAGTGAAAAGTTAATTAATGTTAAAGATTTGGTCAGAGAGTGAGAGCCAGAAGCACAAGTGTAAGTATAATTAGTTTGGGAGAGTACCGATAAATATTTCAACTGAACATTTTATTTTACCCACATAACTTCTGACAGATCCAATATATGCTATATTATAAACATCTGTACACTAAGGTTATTGCAAGTTGAAATGTTATTGTAATACTGCAACATCATTTCAATTATAACACAGTTCCTGACTACTAACGCGGTGCAAGACTGAAGTGCATAATATGAATTTGGTCATTAGATAAAGATATTGGATGAACCATTACACCATATAAAAAATTTAATACAATATCTCTAAGATAATCCACATCCCCAAGGTGCTCATACATAAAAAGTCTTGATACCTTTAGCTTCATCTACAAAGCTAAATAGATAGAAGTCAGATAACAGGTATATATGCAACTATAGTAGAAAAATGTAAATTACCTCAATCCATGACATGTTATGTTGCTGCATTTCTTCCATCTTTTCTTTAACAGAAGCATACAACTTGTTTTCAAACTTGAGGGACTGCATGTGATTCATGTACCGATTACAGTAGAACAAATATCGTTGAAGCGCAGCCCGTGATCTTTCCTGTGCATCCCTGGCTGCTTTGGCTTCCTCTTCATCGTATCGATTACAGTTATACCTGTATTAGATATTTGAAGAACATTCAATATAGTCATCAGTTATAAATATACAAAGATAAATCATACTATTGTATCAGGTTGGAATACAATAATTTTATTCCTACAAGGCAAATTAAGTAAAATCAGATATATTTTTAAAGATGAAGAATTTTATTTTAATATACTTTGTACATATTTGGCTAAATGAGAACTAGTCTTATCCCTTTGCATAAATATATAAATTTTACAAGAATGGTCTCTGAACAGGGGAATACACAACCAAACACAAAAGTGGTAGTGGAACCACGGTTCCGGAGAATTTGACGTAAATACGTCTATACGGAAAGGAAGTTTATATATTGGCTTTATTTTAAATATTTCCTTTATACATGCTTTACAATTGAGGTAAGTTTGATTAAGACATTGCTTATTCAACTTCAATTAGTTACGCTTGAAATGGGTCTGTAGTAGCTGAATGTAACGTAAAGTAATGTAATGTAAGGTAAGGTAATGTAATGTTTTATAGGTAACAACAATGCCAAGTAAACAGATTACGTTTCCTAGGTAACAATAATGCCGAGTAAACAGATGACGTTTGCTAGGTAACAACAATGCTGAGTAAACTGATGATGTTTCCAAGGTAACATAACAATGAAGTTTGACGTTTCCTAGGTAACATAACAATGAAGTTACACTTTTTCGTTCCACTTTTTGCCGAATGACACTGACCCTAAAATATAGATGTATTTACGTCAAAAATTTGAATGTCATGTAGGTTTAAAAGTACACAAGACAACTTTCTATTGACATTATGTCACTAACTTTGATAGGCATGAGTGGGTGATTTCTGACCAAACTTTAAAACCAAGTTATAACAATTTACTTACCAAGATGAGCCATGTGGTTCCCATGGACCAAGACAAACCCAACAAAAATCAGCCTTACAATTCTGATTTTTGCATACCATGTGATTGCAACCACCATCTTTTTCAATAGTCACATTACATTTTGGGCACTCCTGAAAATGCAATAAATCATTAATTGATGTAGTTTATTAGGTGGCACACTATCTTAATTATAATTACACACAAATTAATAACAATGCTGTATTAAGATCAGAGGTTAGTTACAAAATAATTTATACCAAATGATCCATAAACATTTCATTGTTTGCACATTCTAAAAAACACGGCTCATGTTGTTTTTATTTGTATTTACACAAATAACCAAAATCCTGAACATTTAACTAATAATTTTCCTTCAATTTTGTACTAATTTCCATATTAATTACTGGGAAAACATACTTTATATAAAACTCCAACTTTATCTGTACTTTACAAACCTTTGTATTAGCTGCTATCCAATTTGAAGTCTCGGAGTCATCGTCACATTTCTTGATCCACTTCCTGAGTAGATGACATTTGACTGGATCATGCCAGTTTTCACCACAGGCAAAGCAAAATGTATGATTGCACTTACAAATCACTGGCCGTGCTTCTACATACTGAACTTTAATTGCATTATTGCAGTCGGGAGATGGACACCACCTTAACAACCTGTTACACTGCAAATGAAAAGCAAATGTACTTGCAGAAATAAAAGATGGATGCACTCAGTACAAAACTAAGTCAATGAAGAACTTCTCAAATACATAAGGGATTTCCAACACAAGTGCAGGCTGAAGTAATAAAAACAACAAGACAATGAAAAGTTTGTTTCCTTTTTTGACTTTTTGGTTCTATAGGTTATGTAGTGTCAAGAAAATTTGTATTAAAATTGTTCTACTCATAGTCAGTAGCTTGACATAAACCTTCCATTATATGCGTGTTGTGTTCCCCTAGCAAAACGGATTAAAAAAATAGTGGACAGTACACAACAAAGGACAGTATTCAATTTAATTTGGGTAATTTTCCCATTGACAGGGTGTGGTAGAGAATACTAATGTGATTTCACAAGGCACCTTCATGAGTGCATCACTGTGGAAAGGGGCCATTTACTACATTCTACTTTCAAAAAGTGAACAGTATGTATATCACACTTAATTCAAATTTTTTTTGTTATGTGTATATATGTCAGTTTATATCATTTACTCACAAATTAAAATTTATTCCATACATATAACTCACATTCTAATGAAATATATATGATAGTACACATACAAATCTGGCATAAAATATTCAAAACATCTTCAAAATAAAAAAGGCAGGAAAGTAACTTCATATATGAAAAAAAAATTCAACTGATAAATCTACTTCATTGGTGGATCACAGTTATTAGAAATATTCCTCCATGTATTATTAAAAATCTGTAATTTATTTATGGTTTCAAGTTATACACCAGAACTGAACTTCTCAAACTGTGATCTGCACATCAGTCAGTACCAATACTGTAGCCAATCCAAGGGGATGGAAATAACAATAATATCTCAACATTTAGAGTCAGAAAAATTGTATTTGAGAATGTAGCAGTACTAGTAGTATGATAATAATAACAGGCATTTAAGCCAGGAGCACAAATCCTAAAGTAACGTACTATCAGGTGCTTAAGCCAGGAAAGGGCTACATTTAAAATTTAGAATGCTATTCTAAAGTACAGAGACACTTTACAGTGACATAAATTATATAAGTAAGATTTAAGATAAATTCTAACTCACCTCAACAAAACTATTTGTAATAAGATGCTGGTATTTGAGCTTCACTTTGGAGTCTCTGACAAGACGCATAACAGTTGCATCATCAACTAAGATGTCACACCCATGAGCAGCACATGCTATAGTTTGCCCTACACCTTCCTCCATAATCTTTGTGGTAAGATATTCACCCCAACACTGTGTGCAGAACCTGTGTCCACATTCCAGCCCTGTCATCATCTTGAGAAAAAAATACACAAAGTTCATAAAACATTCATTAGTCTCACACACTAAATTGCCGGCATCACCAGCTATAACTTGCTATACACAAGCTTGATTTAGTTTCATGTTTATCAAGAAATGAAGTAATTATTCTCTTTAGAAGCATAATGTGGACCACATATTGTTACATATTAAATAATTTGACTCACAGATGATGGGAGAACCATGAAACAGATTTCACATTCTTCAGTACCAGTAGCTGATGTTCTTCTTGGTGGCTGTAATAAAAGATGCTACTTTATAGTTACTGGTGTAGCATTTGATATTTAACACTGACTGCATGTTCACACTCCTGGTCAAATATTAAAATCGTACATACCTTTACTTTTGGTCTATTAATTACAGTTGGTTTCCTGAAGGGGTTTATAACTCGTGCTTCGGAGAACAGCTGATCTTGATCCCCATCATAAAACCTTTCCATTAACTTTTCTTTGTCCCATTTAAAATGGCTCAACAAAATTCGTGTTGTGGTGGCTGGAATCTGTACGTGAAATTTGTGGCATAATTACTCTCCATACATAAAGGGTCATATCTGTTTCAGAACTTCATCTCATTGGCCTTGACAAATTACCTCTTTCTAACCCTTAAAATTGTACAAGATCTATATGTAGGTTGTACAGACTGAATTTTATCTTACCTCCACAACAGTATTTGCTTCTTTGATAGAATCTACCATGTGCTGGACAATTTCTTCCGTTGATAAAACTTCAAATGGATATTCGTCTACTTCAGTTTGTCTTTCTCTTGGGTTATTGGTCTCAACTTCCATTGCAAAATCAACATCATCACCGCTTGATTCGTTCCCAGAGTCAACATCGTCGTAAAGTGTCTCCTCTTCTGAATCCATAATTTGGAAACAACTGGACAAACTCGCCCTCCGGCACCACCGGAAGAACGCTTAAGTTTTAATAAGTAAATATAATAATTCAATGCTTTGGATAAGGTCAACCGTCTATTAAACTACTGCACCTGTCCCCTGTCCCTCTGACGATGTTTAGCACATGACGTCAGCTCCAGACGCAATGGCTCGTGGGTATAATATTGACAGCCTGTGACAAGATTCTATATTTTAAATGTTTGAGAAATTTTCAATTTGTCTGAAGGCGTTGTGTGCTCAAAATATGAGAATGGATTCGCGTTATTCATATATTAGAAGTTATTCATCAAATTCCTTTTACTTTTGTGTTCCAACCACTTATTGTTTGTGATTTGTGGTATCTTATTCCCTTCAGCTGTTAAAACATTTGAGTTCGGATAGTCCGATGTATGTCAGTGACAACGATAATAATGATTTAATATGAGTAATAATTTAATTTTATACGTAGTAGCCACAGCTGGCTGAATAATGGCAAAGATAAAATGTGTGAATTAAACAAACTTTATTCAGACAAGTATCAAGATGTCAGTACCACAACTTAGGGATTATACGTTAGTCGAGAGGTTAGGCTCGGGTAGTTACGCTACAGTTTATAAAGGTTTTAAGAAGGTACGCATACAAAATACGTATTTATAAAGTGTCAGCAAATTTGTGTTAGAAAGAAGAGAAGCCTAATTCTCTTCCAAGAGTTCACAAATGTTATAAGCAATAATAATAATAATAATAATAATAAATAGGATGCCCTTACCTGACTATTTCTTCAAAAGGAAGGGGCCTCGATGTCCACCGGCAAAATAAAATGGAGAGAGTGAAGGATAGTGTCAAGAATTTCTTTGTAATTGATGGAAGATAAGTACTTTGGTTATTGTGAAAGACTTATAAGAAAACAAAAGTATCTCATCTACAACACACCCCTACAAGCGATTCACAAGTCAGCTCTTTCCACATTGACGAAAGCGTATTGTTGACTGGTGCGATTATGATGTAACAATTAGTAAAGGAATGTAGTGCAATACGGTTTATTCAGTCTGTTATACTGCATGCATAAGAAATGAGGCTTAGGGCATGCTCAGCCAATATTGTTGCAGATGTGGCTTAGAAATTCCAATACTTCTTATTACATTGTTGTACACGCAAGTGTTCATATAAAAGCTGACCATTTACACATTCTTATTATTTTGTTTACTTATTCATCATCATCTCCATGGTTTAGCCTGTTATAGACTGTTCTGTCTCCAAGGAATTTTCTGTTCTAGTAAATAGGATACAGTACTCTGCAGTTAAAATTGGTCTTTTTTTTTTTTATTTACAAGTTCCAGAAATCCAATAGTGGATATAGAACACGTCACAAACTCAAGTATAAAAGCATAAAATACATACATTAAAGAATTACATCTAGACAAGCAGCGTACTAAATTCAAGACAATATAATTAGTATTTTTATTACAATAGTTATCCAATTAAGTACTCATCCACAGTGTAAAACGAGTGAGTAATTAAGAAATGCCTTAATGCAACCTTGAACTTTTTAAAATTATTTGAGGTATTCTTAACCTCTGTGGGTAATTTATTAAATATCTTTATACCCGCATAGTGAACTCCTTTCTGATAAATAGTTAAATTGGCTTGGGGTAGATACAAATTTTGTCTCTGTCTAGTATCAATAGTATGAGAGTCAATGTTTGATGGAAAAAGAGTTTTGTTTTGTAATACAAACAATAATAAAGAAAATATATATTGTGATGCCAACGGTAAGATATCTAATTCTTTGAATATATTTCTACACGATACTCTATTGCTACATCCCATCATTGTTCTAATTGCCTTTTTCTGAAGGAGAAAAATAGTGTAACTACTAGATGAATTTCCCCAGAAAATGATGCCATAGCTCATTAAGGAATGAAAGAAAGCATAATAAATTGTCTTTAGTACTGAAATAGACATATATGGTTTCATATTTCTAATTACATAGCAAGCCTTGCTCAATTTTTTAATAAGTAGATCAATATGATTCTTCCAAGTTAATGCACCATCAATCATAATTCCCAAGAATTTAGTACAGAAGATATTATTAATGAATTTATTATTATAACTTATTGTAACAGTATCTGACATTTTTCTCTTAATTTTAAAATTAATATAATGTGTCTTATTAAAGTTTAGTGATAATCTGTTCATTCTAAACCATCTATTTATATTTTCAAATGTTGCATGAATGTGTTTGTTAAAGTCGTTTGTATTAGAATGAGAAAATAGGATGCTAGTATCATCAGCAAAAATTATAGGTGTAGCAAGTTTAGTTATTATACTGGGTAAATCATTTATGTATAAAAGAAACAACATCATCATCATCATCATCATCACAGGTTCTACAGCCTATTGCAGGCCTTGACTGCCCCAACAATGCTTCCATTGGTCCCTATTTACGGCTTTCCTTTTCCATCCCTGGACTCCGAGAGCTTTCAGATCTTGTTCTACAGTGTAGAACAAGATCTGAAAGCTCAGGTGGCTTGATAGTGTAGAATCTACACTATCAAGCCACCTGATGGGGGGTCTCCCTCTCTTTCTTGTTCCTTCTATATTGGTAAATGTTACTTTCTTGCTTGGGTGTGCTTCACTGGCTCTGTACAGGTGTCCCAGCCACCTTAGTCTTCCTGTCTTTAGTACTTTAATTACATCAGGCTCATTATATAAATGGTATAATTCATCATTATATCTGATTTGCCAGTTTCCCTCTTCATTCTTTGGACCATATATTTTCCTTAAGATTTTCCTTTCGAATACTCTTAATTTGTTCTCATGTCCCTTTGTTAGGGCCCAGCTTTCACTCCCATAGAGCAACACAGGTCGTAGAAGTGTCTTGTATAGTATGCATTTTGTCTTAAGGGTGAGGTGCCTGGATCTTAATTGTTTTTTTGTCCATGGTAACATTTGTCTTACTTTCATTAATAGCAAAGCCCATTTCATTGGCTGCATTTTCTAGCTTCACAAATGCTTCTTCAGCAGCTCTGACTGTTCTACCAATGATGTCTAGATCATCTGCATATGCCAGTATTTGTACAGACTTCTGATATATTGTTCCTCTTTTTTCTATTCCAGAGTTTCTTATTGCTTTTTCCAGTGCTAGATTAACCTTTAAATAGCATACCTGCTAGGGCATCACCCTGTCTCAAGCCCCTGAGGGGATTGGTCATTCCTATGTTGTTTTATTTATTATTTATTTACAAAGAGAAATTTGGTTACATTCCATCCTAACTCTAAAAAGCATAAATTAATATTAAATATTTTCTCTATAAGAAGGAAATAAATTAAAAGTAATGAAAAGAGCTGTGAAGAAAGTTTTACATCTCATTTGCCCTTATTTAAAAATAACGTCCAGTTTTAGTATACTTGCCCGGGCGCTGTTGAGTCCATCCGTGGGTGAGAGAAAAATGTTTTCTTCGTTCGATTCTTGGCAAAGATGTTTTTTGTTTTTCGGATAGTAAGCACTAGGGAAGAATGGCACTAAGGCAAATTTTGTTTTTTTCTAACAGAATGGTCCAAGAGAGGTAGTTGCTGTGAAGTGTGTGGAAAAAAAGCAACTATCAGGAGCAGCTGTTGATAACATTATAACAGAAATCACACTACTTAAACTGTTAAAACATGAATACATAGTGGAGATGAAAGATTTCCAGTGGGATGAAAGGTTTGTATTTTATGCTGGATTATATAAAATATTACCAAATTGGACAGGAAAGAGCATTCACCAAGGTTACGGTCAGTTAAAGTCCAATGAAACAAGTCACCAGAAGTATTGTGAATTAAATATAGTGTCTTTAGGAGAGTGTTTTGTGCTGATGATTCTTTCTCACACACTATAATACATAATAACATGTTGTACTACTATTTATTCTTGTATTCATGCTGTAATACGTAGTCCTTCACATTATTTCTGACAAAACAATTAGCTTAAAGGTAATGAAAATTCAACTTCAGTATACATGAATTTAGTGATTCCTAATTGGTTGGCAACAGGCTTTTGTAACCTTGCTGAATTGTTTTCAGCTATAGATTCATATCAGGTTGCTTTTATGAGGATAACTTCAGTTCCTATTTTACAAATACTACATGGTTTTATACATATGATAAGTATAAGTATTGCTGTTTTACACACTATTTATGTAGTGAGGAATTATAATAGTGGTTCTGAACATTTCTTTCTCCAATGTTTTCAGATATATTTTTATCATAATGGAATATTGTCAACATGGGGATCTGTCATGTTTCATACGCAAACGACGAAAGTTACCTGAAACAATATGCAGGAAGTTCCTGCAACAACTTGCCTTAGCTTTAAAGTTTCTCAGATCTCATAGTGTGTGCCATATGGATCTTAAACCACAAAACTTACTGCTTACTTCTCAACCAACTCTGACACTAAAGTTGGCTGGTAAGTATATATGTAGTTCCTGTAGTACATGTAATGTTTGATGGAATTAAGATGCAGTGAAATTAAATGGTACAGCAAAGAGTTTAAGCAATGTCTTTATGTGGTTCTTCAATAAATGGTTACAAATTCAGTATTTCTAAGATGGAGGTTCCATTCCATGTGCATTATAGATTTTGGATTTGCCCAGTACTTGTCTTCTGATGACCAGAATAGCTCCTTGAGAGGGTCTCCACTTTATATGGCACCTGAAATTTTACTTAAGCACAAGTATGATGCTCGAGTTGATCTCTGGTCAGTTGGAGTAATTATGTATGAATGCCTTTTTGGAAGAGCTCCATATTCGTCAAACAACTTCAAAGAGTTGGCTGAGAAGATTAAATCACAAATGGCCATTCAGGTAATTTTTCATATGAAGGAGTGCACACATAGTGCATGTTGGGAAGTTTTCAGGAATTTAGATGTTCAGAATAGGTTGTAATTGTGCTATGTCATTTGTTTGATTTTGTTTTATCCTGTGGTTACCTACATTGTATGTGTTATTGATTATAAAGCATGGTACCAAGCATTGTTGTCAAGTGACTGCTTCCTTCCACATCCTTTCCAATTCATCATTTACTATCAACCTCTTATTCAATACTGTATAGTCTGAGCATTGTTAAACAGCAAAAAAAGAATTATAAAGCATGGTCATGAAGTAAAACCATTCTGCTGCATGCCATAGAGGCACTTGAGGGGAGAGGTGTATAACTCCTACTCATTCTTGATCGTGGCACTAGATGGGGGTGAGTGATCAGCATCACACTTTGGCTGCACTTTATCCCTGGAGGAAGGACCTACAATACCCATTAGTTTAAGGTTTTCATGCGTCATGTTTGTGTTTTGGATTAAAATATATAATAAAATACAGGTCAATACACAAAACTATATTTGGGTGTTAAAATTTAAAATTTAAATGTTAAAATTTTAAATTTTAAATTAGCGCTATTCATCACTATAAGGATGTTACATTTGCGCGCTTACATGTAACATCCTTATAGTGATGAATAGCGCTAATTTAAAATTTAAAATTTTAACATTTAAATTTTAAATTTTAACACCCAAATATAGTTTTGTGTATTGACCTGTATTTTATTATATATTTTAATACCCATTAGACAGGAGGCTGTGTGATCCCCAGGGCCAATCTGGACACAGAGGCTAGAATAAAAATCCTTTGTCCTTGCTGGGCATTGAGCACTAGTCATTCAGTATATAGTCATACACTGTATTGATTGAGCTACCCTGACTCATTACAAAATAATTATGCTTATTGGAATCAGTAGTTCATGAGATATTTTATACTGCTTTTGCTTCAATAATCTTTCAATATCAGGTTTAATTTTTGATGTGATTCACATGAATTCCTCCCAGTGTCTGTCAGTAAGACTACATTCTATTTCTTAATGTATCATTCTTCATTAAGCCAAACATTTGCTCAATAGGTACTACTAAATACTAACATCATTATTCAAGTGTATTTTTTGATATCAGGTAACTATTTTAATATTGCAGGTGACAAAGTATTATCAAGAATGAATGCAGGCTACACAAAACATGTCAGAAGTGCTGTGTTGAGATCCCCTGATTTGCTGTATACTGTTCACTTTTTATTTAGCTTATTCATGAATCAGTGATATCATTTTTTATCTTTAATGTGGAATTAATAATTAATTATATTGTTTCAAAGATAAGAACAGTGGGTTAGAGATACAGTATCTCTTGTACTATATATGTTATATTGTTTTATTTTACTCTATAGTACATATTGCACACACTTTATACTGGCAACACCTTTCTTTTATTTCAGAGTAAATTTCATGAAAGTAAGGAGGTATTACCTTATGAACTGCAACCTTAACTTGTTTCATGTAAGGTTTTAAAGCTTGTGAATTGTGAAATTGCCATTCATAGAATGTTGTTATTTAAAATACATTGATTGTTTATTCTTACCATTGGGTTGTGTTATTTTATTGTGATATAGGTTTAACATTTATTAAAAGATGTGAAACAGTGCTGTTTCCTGGTTAGGATTTGAGAGAGATGTTTAACTGATGTGCTGTTGCACTCTGAATTAATCATTTGAAACTGGCTTTTCTTAACAGGTTCCTCTTGGATCAAAAATATCATCAGCTTGCAGAGATCTTCTGATGTCTCTGTTACAGCATGATCCAGACAAAAGAATAGATTATGAAGCATTTTTTCAGCATAGTTTCTTGGATTTGGAGCACATGCCAACAGCTGAATCATATCATAAAGCTGTTGATTTAGTATGTAATGCTGTCAAACATGATACAGAGAAAAATTTTGTGGCAGCATTTAATCTCTATTGTGATTCATTACGATACTTCATTCCGTTAATTAATGGTAGGTTTTATTTTATGACTAGTATAAAATTCCCATTTTTATTTAGTGGAAAGTGATTTATTTTGTATTTTTATCCCTTATTCTCATTCCTTTATTTTCCCCTTATTCCTTTTATACTTTTATATCTTTCCCTCCTTTCTGGTATACGAGTATTTCTTTCATGCTTTTACTACCTTTCCTGCAAAATACACTGTTACAGAAGAAAAGCTGTACAAAAATAAAAAATGCTACGTGTTATATGATTTGAGTGTTTTCCACAAAGTCTGCAAGATATACATCCTGGACTGCATTGTAACAAACATTCCACAAATTTAATCTGCTGTTAATTTATTTTTGAATGTAATGCTGAGTTGTGACTGTCATTCCTATTGGTTATAGGCATGTGAAATTCAGTAATATATTAATGAAGTTCTTTTTGTTTATTTAGCTGAAGTGGATGTCAATAAGAAGGCAGCAATGCGCAGTAAAGTGAATGAGTACATCAGACGTGCAGAGGACCTTAAGAGGATAGTGTATGCTAAGGAAGAACCTGGAGTGGGAGAACAGCTACAAAGTTACCAGAAAATGGGAACAATAGATTTTACTGAATTGTGTATGTAAAAGTTCTGATACTTTAGCACAAAAATTTAAGTGATATATAGTCAAATCCTTGTATATCACTGCTCTGTGTTCCACCCCCCTTGCATTGCACGTATGACAGTCTTAGAACGGAAATTCTGTGTGTAATTTCAAAGGGAATTCCCCAGTAAAGCACCATCCACTAAATTCTATAGAAATATGAAAGTACTGTTAAGCATAGTCAAGTATAATACATTGCCATGCCGTGGTTCCACTGTCAATTCTTTTTTCTGTCTCATTGTTTTGTTGTCTTTTTTCCTGTCTCATTTTTTTGTTGTGTCTTATTGTAGCACCACTGCCACCTGGTAAAAACCCATTTGCATTCAAGTTTTGTGGTAATGGCTGATGATCAGCTCACTGAACATTTCGGTATCTTTTTAATTCCTGCTAAATTACTTGAACAGTTGTTTTTTTGTACTGACTTCATTATATTTTCTGTAGGTCATTTATGTACTGGGACTCCTGCAATGATAGCAGCACTAGAAATTGCCTCTTCCGCAGAACAGTATGTAGCAGAGGGTCATTATCAGAAAGCCCTGGACAAATTTCAGTCATGTCTTGGTATCTTGATACCTTTGCTAAGCAATGAACCAAAAGGTCACAGACGTGATCTTCTTTACAGCCAGATTCATCTCTGGATGAAACAAGCTGAAAGTACAAAAGCACTGCTATGTGTTTTAGATTTGGATGATGCCAGTATTCCAGAAAACAAAGGTAGGAGCTTCTGTGTACATTTGGAGAAGGCAGAAATAAATGTGTTTGTCAGTCTTTAAGCACAAAATTATGTTCTAATATGTGAGTTATTACATTTCAGTTCTTTATAACCATCTGAATTAACAGGCAACATGAAGTCAGGAATAGAATATCCACAACATAGTTAATCAGACAGAATTGTATTTATTTAAATAATCCAACTTAAATACAACCTTAAACAAGCTCCAGGACTTTTAAACCTTTCCATGCTGTAAATGAGATGACTTGCTAAGCAATCAGGCTTTTTTGCTTTAATATTTAATATTTTTAGTGTGTCAATGAAAATAAACTTTTCATTTCATGACACATAAAGTTACAGCTTCTTGCTAAAGGAAATTCTTAGTTATCTTATGAAATACAGAGACAAAGAAGTCTTTGATTTTCATCCCCCCTTGCCACCCTTTCTTGAAAGTCCTCAGTTGTTTTTTGTATATCCCCTCGAAATAAACAATAATAATATATATTATGCATTCGTTCTTTATCATTGTTATCTCAGTTTCAGTTATTGGACTAGATCTGTTTGATATGAACTAGAACATTGGTATATCAAATTGGTAAATCTTCAAATTATTCAATTTTTTTTTAAACTTATTGTCCCTATATCTTTCCATGACCATTTTGTTCAAAGTTGTACAGTATTATGCATCAAGAAAATTTGCCAGTCAGTGTGTAGATTTTTGTTGTTATGGACATATACTGCTGCATGTAAAAATTTATGTAGAATGCCACTATGAAAATTTTACAGTTGTATAGTTCATATAGATTAAACTGGACATATCTTTAATCATACAGATTTATTACTGTAATTTAAGTGATTTTAAAATTATGATGATTTCAGTTCTGGAGCCATAATTAATTGTACTGCTACATTCCTAAGAAAAGGGGGGTGTATACACTTGACCTCCAGAAGTATAGTTTTATTTGAATAATATTGAAGAGGAAGTCAGTTTTATCATATTTATAGAAGGTTAAGTTGCAGAACTTGAAACCCCAAGATATTAATGAATGATTTCTCCTGTAATTTCAGAACTTTGCTGTATCCAGTAACTTTCCAGAACCATATAAAATCTAGTCAAGATTATATACTTCTACACTTTTGAAAATCATTTCTGGATTTGAAGGTTGTGATAAAGCATTTTGGCATCTTATAGAGATGCAAGTATTTGTTTACCTTTTCTGTGAGTATATACATGAAAACCTAGAATTTTATTGGAGGTACACCTTTGCTGCCTGTTGGTCTCTATATTATTTGAGTGTGTTTTTCATATTTTTCAATACAGCCACATTCTTAAGGGTTTAATTGTGTTTGTTATTAATTGAAAAATTAAGGGCAATGTAGTAAAACCAGTTCAAAAATAATCACAAAATATTTTCTTTACAATTTGGATCCCTTTCAGTATACATTTCATTAAGTTAATACTCTGGAGTTTAGTCTGTTCACCGTTATATGGCCTATGCTGTTGTAGTAAAACCATATTAAGAAGTTCCTATTTAAATGACGTCATATAACAGATCTTGTCTATTGCCTTATCCAAAGAATTTGCCACATATAACTTTCAGGCAGTTCAGCTCTTTCCAGAAGTTTCGCAAGTGTTTCATTTTATTTAATGTTTCTTGTAGTACCTGTCTCTTTCATTATCACTTCCCCTCCTATGCAACATCAAAACTTCTGAAGTGAAGTGTGAGTGAGAGGATTCTTGATTTTTTTGTGCCAGAAACTTGGGTCTCAGAATTTAGTGGTTTGAGTAAGAAGGTGCTGTGATCTGTACATCTAGAGCAACTCTGGACATGCAGCAGTAGTTTACCTAAGGCATCTTGTGTCCAAATGAACCAAATTCCTCTCTTCTTTTATACTCTTAAGTTTTCACATTACCAGATTCTTACAAGTGGAGGATTTTGAAATATCTAATTTTTCATGATTCCATGTTCTGCATGGCACTGTTTGAATAAAGTTTGAGAATGCTGACCAGCCTACAACTTAGGTGGCTTTGACCTTAAGTATATGCTTTTAGTATAATTTTGTTCTATATAAATTAATTTCATATTTCTGGCTGCTTTATAGTGGGCCATAAAGTGTGTGTGTATGTGGAAAATAGCATGCAGTAAGTAAGTGGCCCTTTTCCACAGTAATGCACTTTTAAGAAATTGTTGCACATTTTAAGACCCTTTGTGGTAAAGCCTTAATCACTTTTTCTGATTCTTTCCACAACTTCATTCAAAGTGATGGCCCGCGTCTGAAATAGTGATGTATTGGATACACCCTAAAAAATAACTGAAGACATATACGATACTGATGATGACTGTCTAGTTAGTTGTTGTGCCATGTATTCTGGTAGAAGTTTGCTGCTATTTCAGGGGTTCTTGCTACCAGTAAAACTTCTACCATACTACATTGTGCAGCAACCCATAAGACAGTTATCTTGCAGTATGAGATGTGACACCATTTTGCTGGAAACATGTAGTATGGCTGTTTTGTGTCAGGTGCCTGTCTGACTGGTGGTGGTGTGTGTCATCACAGAGGAATCCCATAATTTGGATGTATGGGTGGCTAGGGATTCCCCAAGATAACAGTGATAGTAACCAAGGATGCCTGGGGATTCTCCACATGCAGAAATGTGTGTGAGTTCTACATGTGAAGTGCTAGTTATTTTATCCAAATTAAACTAAAACTGGAATACATCAACAATTATAGTAAAACTATCCAATATAAAATTTTATTAAACTCTGTTCAGTTATTCTTGAATTTTTACATGGCATAGCGAACAGGCACATTTTTGCAACTGTTAGTTGAAAATGTTTATAAAATGGCTTTTTGTTGTGATAGGTATAAAAGCTAGTAGCCAGTGGTGAATGATCCAGTATGGCAAAGAACGTGCTGCCAAGCCACTAAAATTTGAGGACTATAAAAATAATGTACAACAGCAGCATTTTATTTTTGTTACAATACAATTGCAATAGGAAGGGTGACTGAGGGTCCGAAATTGGCACCCCTGACCCATTCCGATAATGAAAGAAATTTTCACATCGCAGCTGTTTTCTACTATGTAATCGAATATAGTCGAGTACTCTAAAAATGATAGTTGAACTGCGTGTAACTGCATTCGACCAATGATCGTAGCCATGTTCTGTAGATAATACAGATCGAAGCATTTATGTATCGACCAGGAATGAAGTTTGTTGAATTGCGGAGAGATGTCACTTGAAGTATCTTTACGTTACAACGAATCTTTACCTTACGTGACAAGCCGATGATTCTCCCACGGAGACAGGTTCACAGCTGAATGTGCACGAAATGGGAATTGGCGATATTGCCTTTCGAATCGTGCATCTCTCACGCGTTCAGTCTTGTTTATAATCTGTCATTCATAATGCTTGGAACTGGTTGAAAGTTCAACCTTCTAAGCCACCCACTAGTGAGATGATTTCTTTTTTCCTTTGAAGATGATAGCATGTTGCTTTGTACTACCCTTCGAGGGGTCTCCAGGCATAGACTAAGAGGGTAGGCTCTAACCTTTAGAAACTTCACCTGGCTCGTTAACATCGTTCTTAAACATATGGGTTCATAAAACAGCGCACAGATAATGGAAGACTTTCCCTGTTGCAGGTTTTATTGTAACTGGTAAAATATATTTAATCCATGTGCTTTATAACACGGTGATGAACCTAAGGGCTTTATAAAAGTAGGGATTTCTTGGTCTCCGCATATAACATTTCAACGATGTTTCTGTATTATAGAGTTGGTTAAACATTGTGGAAAAATTAATAGTCTAATTCCACGACCTTTTCAGAGTTTCCAAAGTGTTTCGGAAACCTGTTGTCCATCTACGCGTTTGTCTGTGTCCATGGTTCAACTGTGAATATCGATAATAAAGATTGACTGGCAACTGTCATCAGCAATACCGATATGGCGCTCGTGTAAACCTGTTAGATGATAATAACAGTGACGCAATTCAAAGTAGGATCCTGAAGTTTTGTGTAGTGATATTGTGAAGTATGTAAGACTGTTATTAGAACAAGGTTAGGATCATATAAGATTAGAAAAATGTACTCTTTCGAGTACGCTAACATTCCAGACGTGTTCTTTTCGCCCGTCCAGGGGTTGGTCTAAATCCTAATGGTGGTATTCCGGGTGTGCGTAAACCGAGCGAGGTCAAAGATATGAATTTTTAATTATCGAATGGGCAGGGTACGGGAAAGGAAACCCGGGACCAAAGCCACTAGAACAGTAAGCGCAGGGTTTTTGGCCACACTGAAAATGCATGCTGGGGAATGGCCTGGGTTTGTAAAACCTCGGTGGGTGGCATGCCGGATTCTGAGCATACCTACGTGGAAAAGACCGAGGGTTTCCCCGTGGTGTGCAGGCCCTATAAGTGTCCTAGCCCCTTTGAGGGCAGTTCCTGGGGTGGCTTAAGTTGTGGCGGTGGAAGTCCAGGGCTGTCCAATTGCAGCAATGCCAAGGGTGTGGATTGTGAAAGCCGTGAGGAGAGGGGT